ACACCGGGAACTGAAAATAGCGCGCAAACATTCAATTTTGAAAACATGGCCTTTTCTGTCGACTCCCGTACTCAATTGAGCCTGCAAGCCACGACGAATGAGCTGCTGCAGAGTCTGGGAGATAGATTGGCTGGATTTATAGAGAGTCAACAGCGTACCAACAAGGAAATTACGGACAAGCTCAGCGATCTTAGTCGTATCGCGGACATAGCGTCACAAAACAGCAAACGCATCGTTGAACTTGAACAAACTGTCTCTGCATTAGAACGTGAAGTCGGAGAGTTCAGAAATCTAAGATCGGCTCAGTCGATCTCCACGACTGACAAGCATATCGATAATGAGCTAGTCATATCGGGAGTGCCTGCGGCTTTACCGATCACACCGGCTAGGTTGATTCAGAATGTGTTTGAATCACTTGACGTAAAGGATCTCTCATGTCATATTTTGAATGTTAGATCTATGGTGCGGAAAACACACAAGGCGGTGGGCCCGGATTGTCCCCCGCGAACGGACGAGACTGGCTCTATTGCTGTCACCCTGTCCTCTGGCGCTGTTCAGCGAACAGTTTTATTGAAGGCGCGTGCAAAGCGGGAGCTCAAACAGAGCGAGGTCTGTGGAAATGATTCCAATCGCAATATACATGTAAATGAAATGCTATCCAAGGCCACATATGATTTGCTGCAACTGACCAGGCGCACGGCTAAGGACAAGTCATATAAATTTGTTTGGATGAAGAGCAGACGTATTTGTATTAGACTCTCGGAAGGCAAGCCCATCATTAACATTGATTCAAAATCAGATCTCGTGAAATTAGTTTGACTTGACCATGATAACAGCAAATTGCCTCCTACCAATCACGGAAAATTACTTATAAACTCGTCTCAGTTTTGTGTAGCCCAATTTAATGCCAATTCACTACAAGGGGATATTGATTTAATCAGAGTGCAGTTTGCGTCTAACCTTGTTCACGTAATTTCGATATCTGAAACATGGCTGCACTCTGATGTTTCTGATGCACTTGTGGCCTTGGATGGCTATTTCCTCATTCGTCATGATCGTGAGGGTAGACGAGGTGGAGGTGTCGCCTGCTTCGTTCACGACTCACTTAAGGCTAAAATTATAGCTGTTTCTCCAAATGTTGATTTTACTCTCAAATACTCTCCGGAGTATTTGATTATTGAGATTCGTCTACCAAACAATGAGGCGGTATTATTTGCGTCGGTCTATAGAAGACCCAAGGGTCTTCTCCTACATGAATTCGTCGAAACACTTGCGAGTGCCTCACATATGTACAAAAACATCATCATCGGTGGTGACCTGAATTGCAACCTCTTGTCGACCAATTTTAAAGCCAACCACTTGCGCGACCTAATGTCCAGCATCTCAATGAACATTGTGAATACTGGGGCTACATACCACACGGCCACTGCTGACTCGCGGCTTGACGTTTTGGCTGTGGATGACAGCGACAAGATTCTGCGGCTGACCAAATCTGATAGTCCGTTTATCACTGGTCACGATCTAATGGAATTAAGACTCTCACTTGGCACAGTTTTTGATACTAAGCGCTCTATCGTAAGGCGTAATTTTAAAGACATCGATGCCGACGAGTTCTGTGATTGCCTTGGGTCTATTATGAACAATCCTAGGTACCTCGAACGTATCCGGATCATTACGGAAGCAGATGAGGGTCAATATGCCGATGGTCTCTGTGCTGCGCTGTCGGACGCCATGACCGAAACACTCGATGCCCAGGCTCCTGCACGTGTGATTGTGGTGCGGAAGCCACCGACGCAATGGCTATCAGATGATCTCAAGACGCGTCTTAACACCCGAAACACAACGTACAGGCAGGCCAAGCGTTCGGGCTGTTTACTTGACTACACCGCCTATAGACACTTTAGGAATCAGCTCAATGTGGATATCAAGCGAGCAAAGAACGAATTTCACTACAATTCACTTGTCAAAATCACTGACTCGGCTAAACTAAGGAGAGAACTTGCACGACTTGGTCTAGTAAAGCAGACACAAGTCTCTCCGCTACGCTTTTTTACGCCAGATCAGCTGAATGCGTACTTCGTGTCAGTCTTTAAAGCTCTGCAGCCATGCTCACGGGCAGAACTTGTCGTTGCTGTTGCCCAGATTCCTCGACCAGCATCGCGACCGCTATTCAAATTCTCTGCTATGCTCCCATGTGACATATATAAACTTCTCATGACCGCACCTCTGCATTCCTACGCGTCAGGTTCGGACGGCATTCCGCTGCACGTTCTGCGTATTGCTTGGCCAGTGGCTTCCTCAGTGATCACCGTAATGTTCAACCGATCATTGGAAACTTCCATGTTCCCATCGAAATGGAAGCGAACACTAATTCGCCCACAGTCGAAAATTAGAAACCCACAGTCTCCGTTTGACACGAGACCAATAGCGAATCTGCCGGAACTGTCGAAAATCCTCGAAAAAATTGTCGCCTCACAGATTACACAATATCTAGATGAATTCCATCTAATAAATCCCAGACAGTCTGCTTACCGTTCGGGTCACAACACCCAGTCTGCTCTCTTAAGAGTCTGTGATGATATCAAGCGCGCGATTAATAACGGCCATATTACTATAATGATACTATTTGACTTCAGCAAAGCATTTGACACCGTTCCACACCTTCAACTTTGTATAAAGCTGAAAGAGTTCGGTTTCTCTGACGAGGCTATAATGTGGATTTTCTCTTACCTGACAGGCCGATCTCAGGCAGTGGTGGACGACGTTGGAAACTTATCTGAGTGGCTATTCACGTCATCTGGAGTACCGCAGGGCTCCGTGCTTGGTCCTCTATTGTTTTCTCTCTATATCAACGACATTTACCGTGTTTTGCTACATACGTATCATATGCTTTTTGCAGACGATGTTTAAGCTTATCTTGCATGCGCACCGGTCGACATAAATCGTGGTCTTGAAATGATTACAAGGGATGCCAAGGCCATATTCGATTATGCTGAGTCAAACGGTCTTAAGCTCAACCCGAGCAAATCCAAGATTATTGTGTTTGGTAGTCGAGCACATATTGGAAACATTAATCTGAATCTCCTACAGCCAGTAGTAATCAATAACACGCCAATACCTTTTGTGAGTGAAGTCAAGAACCTTGATGTTATCTTTACGTCCGATCTTTCTTGGAAGAAGCATGTCATCCATGTTTCTCAAAAGATTCATTGAGCACTTTACAGTCTCAAATTCAACAGAAATTCTCTCTCAATAGCGCTGAAGACAAAACTGGTTGTTACCCTCATAATACCTCACATTGATTATTGCTGTCTATATAGTTTATCACAGTATGACGGATGAATTAAACACTAAATTACAGAGGCTAGTAAATTGCTGTATCAGATTTTATATTCAATCTCAGGCGCGATGAGCATATAACACCGTACAGGCGAAGACTGCGATGGCTCCGTGTCGAAAATAGGAGGCTTTACTTCATGAGCTGCCAGATGTATCGTATCCTCCATATGCGATCTCCTTCTTATCTTTGTGAGCTTTTTACTGAACCTGATCCTCTGCTGAGGAGATCCGAACGTCTGGCTGCTTCCACTCAGGCCTTCCACATTCCTGCCCACAAAACGGTAACATACAGGAACTCTTTCCAAATTTCTGCAATTTATCTCTGGAACTCGTTACTTGACAATATAACCTCTGCATCATCTTTGGCATCATTCAAAAGTCTTCTTCGATCTTTTCTGCTGGCATCCGAATCTGACTAAAAGTATCAAAGAATAAAATAAATTTTCGCCAGTAATAAAATAAAATCAGTGTTTAATGATCGGCCTGACTGGCAATATATTAAAAATTATAACGACGTTTCGACCTCTATTTTGGGTCCTTATCAAGTTTATGCTGAAAAATATAAATTGCCGGTAATACATATAAAAAA